GGATTGGCCAAGTGGCAGCATCAATGGACTCAAGCGTGGCAACAATAGTGAGGTTGGCCCAGGATCGGGCAGTGTTTCGTTCTGCTGTGCATAAGGTCTCTATGGGTCAGTTCCGACTCAATGGCACTTAACAACAACAAAAATTTACAGCCTCGGAAACCCTGTACAGGGTCGCTATGAGTCGGAACCAACTCCACAGCACATAACAACAGGGTTAAAATGCTATAATTTCTAGGATTTTTAAGCATATAGTTATCATCTTTATTTTCATTCAAAATAATTCATGATTTTCCTTGAAAACTACAAAAAGCAAACATATAAACTTGTACTCAAGTGTTCAGAGCAGCATTATTCACAGGAGTCAAATGGTAGAAACACTCCAAATGTCCATCAACACATGAATGGGTAAATGAAATGTGGTACATACACACAACAGAATATTATTCGGCCATAAAAAAATTAAGTTCTGCATGGATATACCTTGAAAGCATTATGTTAAGGAGTGATTCTTACATATTTTAAGTCATTTTATAAGAAATATCCAAAAAATTTAGAGTTCTGGTGTGGCACTGTAGGATAAGCACTGGACAGTGAGGCTGGTTTGAACCTCAAGGCTGACTGTTCAAACTCACCAATAGTGTTGCTATGAGCCAGAATCAGCTCAATGGCACTTAACAACAGCAACATAAAGATAGAAAGTACAGTAATGTGCTTGCCTGAGGCAGCGAGTAGGACTGGGGACTGACTGCAAATGGTCACATGCTTTCTTTCTTGGGAATTGGAATGTTTGTGTTACAGTAATACTAACTCCCATTGAATGAAGGTCTACCATATGTCAGACACTTTACATATATTTGTGTTATTAGTGCACAAAATAGTGCTACAATATAGATCATATTTCTTCACCTTACTCCTGGAGAACGTGAGGCTCTGAGGCTCAGACATTATCAGGAAAACTCTTCAAGATTTTTTGCTACATTATATCATGTCTTAAATGGATAAGAATACTTTTGATAATTAAATTTCTTATTTCCCAAGATGTCTAAAACAGTGTTCAATAAATGAATTTTGGTGGATTGATAAATTAAATAGTACTTTAAAAATCTTTGTTAGGACATGATATAATGAAATAAGAAATATTGATACATTAAACGTTGTTCTAGAGACAGAGAAAGATAAAACATCAGACTTGTCATTAAGGACGTTAGTATTTAATTTAATCAATGATATACATAAGTGAGAATATATGAGCAGTTCAGAAAAGCAGGATATTTAAAAAGTGTGATGAACATGGTAGGCTTGAAATGAGAGATGGAATGTTGTTAGACTGTTGAAGGGTGAATAGGATTTGCATCAAAGTAGAAGAAATCCTAGGCTGGAGAATAGTATGAGCCAAGTGAAAGTGTGTATTCTGACATCACTGCATAGATGATTGGTTGGAATATATGTTTTGAATAAGGGAAGTAGTGAGAATTGAGGACTTCAAAGCAGATTTTGGTGCCAGTCAGTTGATTATAATTGCCACATTGGGGCTCAGAGGTCTCCAAAGTCTCACCTGGTAAATAATTCTCCCTCCACTGCCCTAAAGGAGGCATTGGCAATCCCCCTGGGGTAGAACCTGTGCTCAGTCCTAGGTCAAGAGGTGGTTTGATAATACACTAGCTCTTTCGTGGACAGAGTAGGCTAGGATGACTGTGCAGGGGTACAGTGGGAAGGAAAGTTACACTTTCATCAGTCTCCTCTGCTGAGGGAGGAAACCATATTCAACCATGAGTTCTTCAAGAAAGGAGTTCTGGTCAGAGCACTCCATCCTATAGACAAAGTCAGGGCCTAAAAAGAACATGTCTGTTTTGGGAAAGTCTAGAGGCAATCAGTCTGAAATCATCTTTGAAGTCAGTAGGATTGAGAGAGGTAAGTGTGATAATTATCTTTCCTGAAATTTTGGGGTGAGTACAGACTGGGTGGGCTCCTTTGGCTTCACAATGAGAATCCAGATAAATGTAGAAATATTCCATTAGACAATTAGCAATGCGTTCCATTGTGTAAGGTTCCCAGTTTGAGGACACAGAAATGTCAAATACTTACAGAAACACATTTTATCACAGACAGTCTTTCTTTCTCCATCACCCACATGGATACTCATCCACTCACCAACTACATGCAACAGATAAAAAGTATTCCAGCGGCATCTCTTACTTTCTAGCCGCATACAAATGGAGTAATGATTGAAAAAGAATTATAGAACTTTCTGTTTCTATAGTTAAAGTATGAGAATTGGCTTAAAATAATTTTGAAGATCCCTTCCACAACTCAAATACTAGATGACAATGTCTTTACTATGCAAAGTGAACTATACACATCAGAGCTAGGGGACAAGAAAAATAGAGGCATGGTCAAAATTGATCAAATAATGCTTCTTGAAGTAGTATACAACAGGAATCTATTCTATTGTGGAGAAAGTATTCCATGTGAAGAATTGAAGTACTTTGTTAATTCAGTCTTTGGATGTCAATAAAGTTGACTGGACTTAATTTGTGGTTTTTGGATTTTATAAATAGAAAAAGTTAACAGATTATTAGTGGAGATTTGTAAGCCTTTTGAGATCACCCTAAAGATTAATAGGAATTGGGTCATAATATTGTATGTGAGAGGAGTAGGGTCAGGATGAGAGAATCCTATAGAAGGGAGGATTGTGTAATGGATAATGGATATTCTATTGTGTATGCTTTAATGCCAACATTTGAGAGTTAATTTAATTCTCTAAAAGCTAATAAGAGAACAGCACATGCAGCTATCAGGAGGAAGTGAAATTAGACTCAGATGCAAGATTGGGTGTTCTAACAATAATGGTAATTAGAAAGGAGTGTGTCGACTCTCCTCGTTTGCTCAGAGGGAATGGTACTACATGTTGTTGACACATTTTCTAAAACGTGATTTCTAGTCTCAAGAAATTCATTATTTATAGAGATTATGCATTGACCCATAGATGCACATGTTGTTGTTGATGTTGTTAGTGCCATGGAGTCAGTTCTGACCCATAGTGACCCTGTATAGGGTTTCTGAGGAGTGACTGGTGAGTTTGAGTCATCGACCTTGTGGTTCAAACTGCCTTTGCAGCCCAGTGCATTTTCCCACAGCGCCACACCAGGACTCCCAGATGCACATACACACACACATAAACATGCAGAAATAAATATAGACAAACACTGATCTTTGTAATGCAGAAAGTCATTAGTGCTCTACCTACTTCACAAATGTGTGTCAAAATGATATGTGTGTGCCAAGGGGACTAGGAGTAGAAACTATGTTTTAGTTTTAAAGAATTTAAGATCAGAAAAATTACAGATCAGGACTGGATGCGATGCTTAAAACCATTTAACTCAATTGGCCACTTCATGCAGGGATATATATCTATATCTATATCTCTCTCTATATATATAGATCTATATGTATATATAGAGAGATAGATATATATCATTCTGAAAGGTCAGCATTCAGCCTCTAAGTGAGCAAGAAACCTTCAAGTCATGAAAATATCACTGAATTTCCAGGCAGTCTATTTTTAGACGGCTTCTTTTATTTATTTATTTTAATGTTTTCATTGTATTGATTTATAATCTAGTTTATAAGTTCCAACACTTGGCCCTAATTATGGTCTTTGGAAGAGCACAAAGAAAATTTACCACCTTCTCATATGACAGATATTTAAATGAGTAAAAAAGTGATCATGTTTGACTTTAAGCAATCTCATTTATAATCTAGAAAACAATAAAAACATCTGTTTCTCATGTGAGCTGTTTTCAGATGTCTTATAGGTTTTACTTTCTGAAGTCTATGCAGTTTTCAAGGTTTTAATCCAAGTCTTTTGCCAAGAATTTGCAAAATACTCAAAATTGTATCTGATCAAAGCACTGTCTTTTTGTTTAAATATGAAATTGTTAAGGGATTATTTGTAGACATCTGGGGGTGTTGAGATGAAAACATAAGTCATTAGGAAGCCGTTAAATCAGTATAAACTCTTTTCCTTCTTTTACTGGATTGATAGATTTAGGAAATGTGAAAGATTATGGGCACTTACATCTTTGCCTTCACTTGATTGATAATGAAATTCAACAAAGATTGGGTGTCATGATCCTTTCCTTCAGCTATTTGCAAGGTTATCAATTGGCTGAAGGATTATGTTTATTCTGTGTGCTCCCCTAATTAGACCTCCTGCCTCTTCTCCCCACCCCCTTAGCAGCATACAATGATGCTAATGAAAATAATGCACATAATGGCTGCCCAATTTCCGAGCCACTTTGACCAGGGAGAGACTAGCCTGACTAATGACCTGACTCATTTGGGTTATGAGGCACAGGACTAGGAGTAATGTGTGGACTTTACAATAGGCTCACTTTGGGTCCATATGAGGAGTAATTTGTATCTGCTATTGCAAGATGAAAAGTGTTCCCAGAAAGTTGTGAGTTTCCTGTTCAAGAGGGATTTTTAAAAAGTATCTTTTTATGATTACCATATGTGAACATGAGGAAGAACCCAGCAATTGAGATCACAGGAAAAGTGATGAAGCTAAAGCTCCGTGAGGGAGCTTTAGTTGCTGAGTGACAGATACATGGCCAATTCATGAAGGCATAGCAAGCTGTATTGAACACAGGGAGTCATTGGTATCAATCTTGTAAGAGGTTTAATGCAATAGTTCAGACAGATACAGATGCCGTTGTTCTAGGAAATCGGCCCATTCTAACTAAGACCCTTGCTGGGGATTAGTAAGGAAGGCATATCTTCCAAGAAAGGCATATTCAAGAGGACAGGCCTTTGTTAGAAGAAAGTCGGTATGATGAAGTATGGAGAGAAAACCCTTTAACCTAGAAGCCATGGATATTGAGACTCTCTCCTGACACACCAGATTTCAGATGTAAGGCACCAAATCCCAAAGAAGCAGCACTACCTCCATATCCTACTTTCTGAAGAAGACAAATTGCTGCAAGACTTCATGCTTTTCTTATTTTTGTTAAGTGCCGTCAAGTCAGTTCCAAATCATAGCGCCCCCGTGTAGGATTTCCAAGAAGCAGCTGGTGAGTTTGAATCACTGAACTTGTGTTCAAACCAACCTTGCAGTCCACCACTCCAGGACTCCTTTCTAAGAACCGTTTAAAGAGCTGGTGCAGGAAATTATTTATTTAGTACTTTTATGTGCCAGCTCTTGTTCTAGGTACTATAGCTACACTCATGAAAAAGAAAAATATAATTCCTCTCTTTGAACATCTGAACACTCTAGTATGATGGGACAGAGAAATTCATTTGGGGTCAGTTAGTTCTATGCACTGTAGGATGTTTAGCAGCACCCCGGCCTCTAACCACTAGATGCCAGTAGCATCCCCCTTGCACCCTGCAGCTGTATACCAACCAAAATGTATCCACACATTACAAAATATTTTCTGAGAAATAAAATTACTCTAGTTGAGAACACTGTCTTAGAGGAAGTGACATCAAAGCTGTACCCTGAATCCAAAGTGCCTTCACTTTGTTGAGGCTGATGGCCCGTTTTCTGGTTTGATGAACTATATAGCTTGGTGATGCCTTCCTTGGAACACAGGAATAGAAGCAGTTTTCTTGGAGGCAGATGAATTCAATATTTGACCTGTTGTTGAGTTTGAAGTGCCTAGGGTCAGCAGATAACTGACAAAAAAGATGGGTTATAAAAGTTTGAAATTCAGAAGCTAGATTGTGAGTGGAGAGATACATTTGGGTGTTGTCAGCCCAGTGACTTATGATTCAAGCACTGGAATGGATGGTATTTTACAACAAGAGTGTAGAGTGGTAAGAGTGTCTGAGGTATATCCTTGAGGAGGAATCCCAATACTTAAGAGCTGCACGTAGAAAAAGGAACGCACCAAAGAGACTGAGGAAGGGCCAAGGAAGTAGGAAGAAATCCAGCAATGAAAGGGAAGAAGGTTGTGTAGAAAGAAGCAATAATCAACAGATAAAACACTTTGACAAAGATGAGAACTGAAAATATGTCCACTGATGTTTCCATAATGAGTGGTGAGGCCAAAATCCACAGAGCAGCAGGTTAGAGAGTAACTGGAAGGGGAGGAATTTGAAACATTGAGCACAGTAGTCTTTAAATAACCTTATCTATTAGGAAGGGGAAAGACAGTGCAGTGCCTGGGAAAGCAGTGTGAAGGGAGATTATTTTTCAGTTGGAGAGGCTTTTTCACATGTCACGTTTGTTGTGAAAGGGCCAGTAGACAGGGAGGAGGATTATCAATGTCACTGGATTATATATGTAAAAACTGTTAATTGAAAAATTATTTGCTATGTATATTTATACCACAAATTTAAAAGATACATTATCAAAAACATAAAGTTTAAGTAGCATTGAACTAGATACTTGAATCACTCTTTTCAGCAGAATTTATTAACCTAAATTTATTTATGTAAACTACGGAGAATTGCTGAATGCACCAGATCTCATCTGATCTCAGAAGCTAAGCAGGGTCTGGCCTGGTTAGTACTTGGATGGGAGACTGCCTGGGAATACCAGGTGTTGTAGGCTTGGAGTACTGGTATGGCACGGTGGGCTAATGCATTGGACTGTAAAGTCAGTTTGAACCACAAGGTCGACGGTTCCAGCTCACCAGCCACTCTTCAGAAACCCTACACAGGGTTACTATGGGTTGGAACTGACTCGATGGCACTAAACAACAACAACAGTGGAGAATTGCATTTTTCTAGAACTGGGTGCATAAGCAGAATTCTAAAAAGTTAAGGATATTAGCAAGAAAATAATTACCATGATGAGGAGCTCTGGTAGCGCTGTGGTTACAAATCGCTGTGGCTGCTAATCTCACGGTCAGCACTTGGAAACTACCAGCTATTCCAGGGAGAAATATGAGGATTTCTGCTCCCATAAAGATTTACAGCCTCAGAAACTCTGTACAGGGTCACTGTGAGTCGGAACTGACTCCACAGCACATAACAACAACAACAACCAAGAAAGTCAAGACACAAAAATATGACTCTAGGAAGCTAATAGATATGGAGGAAATAAAGAGGCAAAGGCTACAGTTTTTAAGGGATAAGGAAATGAAATAGGACCTTCATTATGTAATCTCCTGATCTGGGATGCTGCATTGTAAACTATGCACCACATGGCTCAAGGGTCTAAAGGAGATGTTCAGTAGGTTTTCCTCTAAACTAGAGAGTCCAAGGTCCAGTATTTTGAACTTGCATTTGTTAAAAATCAACAGTCAAGTAAGCATTGCTGATTTGTCATAAGCTATTTGGTGAGTACACTCCCAGGACATATTTGTGTTCCACTTTTTAATGAATGATTGTCAAGTTAGGTCTTCTTCTATTCTATATTTAGACAATTGATACTTTAAAGCTAAGTTAAAACTCTCTGTTCAATAGTATCTTACTTCTTTAAAGTTCCTTGTTTAATAATGTTAAAAATTTTTTGGATTATATTTCTAAACTTTTGTTCCATTCAAACATACTAAGCACACCTCTATGACATTATCAAAATTCTTCAAAAAATTTAGAGCAAGAATGAGTTTAAAACCTTGTGGTACTAAATAAGAAAAGCAGTGTTGCAGATGTTGTAAGTTTTTCCATGTTGCACACACATAAAAACTGAATATTTCTGGAATATTTAAGAGTACTAGTCATAATGTTAGCTCAGATATTTATTTAAAGCCTTTTATTTACCAGGTACTGCATTTGGAGATGGGTATACAATGGTAAGGAAAAAAAGTAGATGCAATTGCATGGAATTTATTTAGTGGTGGAAACAGACAAGTATTAAAAGCGTGTATAACATATTTTCTGCAGTGTACAGATTACATCATGTCATTTCATCTCTATTAAAATATGGTGAAACACTTTATTATCTCTGTTTTACAAGTGGTAAATGGAGACTCACAGAAGTTGGTCAGTGGTTGAACAAATCTGTGGTACTCTTATGTATGGATTCCAAGGCTTATATTTGACCTTGGTGGTCATTTAGAAAACAGCTTTGATGTATTGATGAGGTGAATTAACGCTTTGCTATTACTAATTCCCAACATTAGTCTGTCTGTTTGTCTAACTGTGGTGGCTTGTGTGTTGCTGTGATGCCACCGGTAAGCTATGCCACCAGTATTTGGAATATCAGCAGCGTCACCCATGGTGGATAGATTTCAGCAGTGCTTTGAGACTGAACAGACTATAGACTGATTCTGAATGCTTAGTCACTGAAAACTTTTTGAATGGCAGCAGAGCATTGCCAGATATAATAATAGAAAATGAAAACATTATGAATAGCAGGAGAATATTGTCAAAATGAGGAGAAACACCTACAAACATCCATTAATTATTAGAACATGGAATATACAAAGTATGAATCTAAGACAATTGGAATCTGTTAAAAATGAAATGGAACTCTTATAGATCAATATCCTCGGCATTAGTAAGCTGAAATGGACTGATATTGGCCATTCTGAATCAGACAGTCATATGGTTTACTATGTCAGAAACTACAAATTCAAGAGTATTAACATTATATTCATCGTCAAACAGAATATTTCAAGATTTGTCTTGAAGTACAGTGCTACATGTGATAGGATAATATCCATATGCCTACAAGGAATCTTGGTGTGATGTTACAGACTAATATACTGGACTGCAAGGTCGGTTTGAACTGCAAAGTTGGCAGTTCAAGTTCACCAGCCACTCCCCAGAAACCCTATGCAGGGTCACTATGAGTCAGAATCAACTCTATGGTGCTTAAGAGTCAAAACAACAAGAAGAAGGAAGACCAGTTATTACCACTATCATTCAAACTTCTGCACCAACAACTAAAGCCAGTGATGATGAAATTAAAGAATTCTACCAAATTCTTCAGTCTGAAATTGATCAGACATGCAATAAAAATGCATTGATAATTACTGGTGATTAGAATGTGAAGGTTAGAAACAAAGATTAATCAGTAGTTGGAAAATATGGCCTCGGTGATAGAAATCATGCTGGAGAAGTAAGAAAGAATTTTGCAAGACCTACAATTCATTCCTTCCAACTACTTTTTTTTTAACAATGTAAAAGGCATGAACCTCACCGTTGGAATACACAAGAATCAAAATTACCACATCTGTGTGAAGAGATGGTAGAAAAGCTCAATATCATCAGTGAAAACAAGGCCAGGGTAGGCTGTGGAACAGACCATTGATTACTCATAGGCAAGTTCAGGCTGAAGCTAAAGAAAATAAAAACAAGTTCACAAGAGTGCATATATTCCATCTAAATTTAGAGACCATCTCAAGAACAGATTTGATGCATTAGACACTAATGACTAGAGGCCAGAAGAGTTGTGGGATGGCATCAAGAATACCATACAGGAAGAAACCAAAAGATCATTAAAAAGACAGGAAAGAAAGAAAAGACAAAAAGGATGTTCAGGAGAGACTCTGAAACTGCTCTTGAGCTTAGAGAAGCTAAAGTGA